GGGTGGTAATTTGCCAAATGCCCCCATAAGTTGAGATATATGTCAAAATGTCCCTGAAAATTGGGCCCTGGCCTTTAGCAATTGCACCCACGAGAAGTTGGCAACTACCGGGGCATTTTGCAAAGTTGGACGGTGTCTGGTAGGGGTACATTGCAAAGATGGGGTTCAGCCGATGTCTGGGGTGTTTCACAAATTGTTTTTGTCGTCGTCCTTCGCCGCAGCGTAGCTGCGGCAGGTTCCCTTGTTTATCCTAATTTCTATAAGGCGGTGTCAGGTCTGGATGGAAGCTCTGTAAGTCTTCGGTGATGATTAAAGGAATGATCTCCAAGCTGTCTATAATTTCAACACAAGATGTGCAATGTGAAAGCATTAGCGGATGATTTGTTTACTATACGTGCTAACACAAGTCCTCCTTAATGGTACTCAAGGATTGCCTTGCGGAGTATGCTCACCTTTTGGAAGGAGTTGTGAATTGGAATAAATCTGTATTTTTCTTACCTGCACAATACAGCATCGCTGTTGATCTTGGCATGAGGAATGTTACAGATGGGTCATCAGAATGGTACCTCGGCGTTCAGGTAGCACCGGGCAAGTATGGCCAGTTCCAAGGCGACCTACTAAAGCAAAAAATCATGCAAAGAGTCTCAACATGGGGCCCTGCCCACACCTGTCATTGTTTGGTAGGGCTATGGTTCTGAACGTGGTGCTGTTCTCCTTGCTTTGGTATATTGGGAAGGTATGTCTGCTATCAAAACAGCTTCTCAAGGCGGTAGGACGAGCAACAGCTAGATTTATTTGGAAATTGTATGGAGATGCGGAATGAGGTTTCATTTCTGAAGTTGCATGGGGGAGGATGTCTGCTATCATCCGAGAAAAGGTGGCTTGGGTATATTGGATTTCGCAGAAACAGAATCGGGCAATGCTTGTCCAATTAGTTATCAAGGTCATCTCATCTGAGGAGGATGACCATTGGGTACTCATGGGAGACCTTATTTTGGCCGAGGAACAACAGCTGCCCAGCACGAGGGATGTATTATTATGTTGTATGCTAGGTTCTTTCTTGTGCAGAGTCTGCAGACAGATAAAATTCATCTTCTGGTACAATGTTCTGTGCGCCTGGAGACGTATCAAACCGAAGTCTTGGGTTCAACTGGTTACAAAGTCAGAAGTCCTAGACCAGCCCTTGTTCGACAAACCAACGATCCTAGAGTCAAATGCGTTCCCTTTCACTACAGACTCTAACCCAGCCTCTTTTGGCAGGGTGTGGTTATAAAGGGGGGTGTTGATGGTTAGAGACCTCTGGGATGAAATTTGCAGAGGCTGAATCCCGGCCCAAGGTCTACAACAGAAGCCAGGAAGATCAACAGGCATGGGTGATAAACAAGCTCAACTACTAGCGGCCATCCCTGCTGACTGGCATGCTCTGCTAGAGTCGGTATGCATTGACCCAACTGGTACTTGGCACAGAGAGGTGCCCATCTTGGGGACTAACAGTGTATGGAAACTTAACTCAGTGGAGCCAGACGGAAGTAGGCCCTTCCAGGTGTGGACAGTTACCAGGACCAGTTCTCCGGTTCAGGTGGATCATGAGGAGGGAACGTGAAGGAATCCAGTGGGTACCATGATACGAATTTGGGTGAAGGAGACCTGCAACAACAACGGCGACTGGACATGCCCTCTCTAAGCTAACTGTAAACCAATTACAGAGCTGAAGCTGGAGATGGTACAGTCCAGAGTGCTGGCTATCTCAATACGTCATCAAGACTAGCTATGTGCAGCTCCGAACATCTATCCCTCCGGTAGCAGTACCAACAGAGCGCTGGGCTCAGGTGATGGGGAAAGACTCTGCAGAAATATCCAGGCAAGTTGAGATTTCATGGATAAACCTGCAGTCGATTTCTTCCCAGAGGTTAGCAGCCCCTCTGTGGGTGCTTACGATGATGGTTACTCGCTCAGCAGTTTGGTTGAGGAGTAGGGGAATGGAAGTCGATATCAAATGTAGAGGGCGTAAATGGCCCTTTGAGTCCACGCTACATCTGTGGCTCTCATGTCCGCTATCAAGAAGGATTTGGCTCTGGTGGAAATGCCACTGGGGAAAAATATGTGGCAACAGTTTTCTGTGGACGAGGACTGCGTTCTGTTTGGAGCAATTACCCTCCAGACACAGGCCAGTAAGGAGTGGGGGTATGTGGCCTTTTCCATCAGAGCCATAATGTTTTGGGTTATTTGGGAGGAACGGAAGCTGCCGATTGACGAACAGACAACTTGTGGAGATTCAAAGGCTCCAGTTTTGTGGTGTCGAACTGGCTCTGCACCGCCTAGGTAAGACCTGGACGCTCGGAGGAAGGCGGTAGTTGGAAGGTATGTGGGGAGGGAGGGAGCCACATGATACTTTGGAACCGTCCTAGGGTCCACAGCCCTGTGTTAGGGGATGCATGGTTTCTTTGTAGGTAAGTCTCTTGGCCTCCTGGAACGATTTTCGTTCCACAGTCCCAGATTAGGAAAGTGTAGTGGTAGGAGGCGGCTGTACATTATTAGGCTACAGTTAGTGGTAGGAAGTAGTAGGGAGAGATGGTTTGGTTTCGCTTGTCTAGGGAATAGTTGGGAGGTAATGATGGCTCAAGCACCGTTGAGCTACTGGGGTCGATAGTTCAACGGAAAAGGGACAGGGTAGGGGGCATTCTATTCGATCACGGCCCAATTTTTTTCATTTTTTCGACACCAAGTAGAACTTCTAAATCACTTCTCATTTTCCCCAAGAAAACCACCTCGGGACAGGAGGGAGGATGATCTGGAGGGTCGTCCATGGTTGAAAACTCCACGTTTGAGCTATCTCAAGGGAGTAAGGGCCTCGTTCCACACCACTTCGAGTTCAAGAGCAAAGCGAAAAATCATCGTTCCAACCCCCCGTTAGACCGACCCGCTTTGTTTTCACTTTTCTGTGTCCCAAGGATGCGCCCTTGAAACTCAAGGGCAACACAGCCAAAATCGCCCTTGAATTCAAGTCACCTCCTGGAGGTACCTTGAGTTCAAGTGCCACCGGATACCGCCAGCACTCCAAGTGGGGCCTTTTTTTTGTTTTTGTTTTTTTCCAGCAGGCAATCCTGGTCCAGGATTGGTCAAGCCGCGGAGTTTGGTTTCAAGTGCATCCTGTTAAAGGGTTTCCTCAAGCGTACATCGAACCATAAATCGAGTAAGTGTAAATTAATCACAATTTCTCATTTAGTGTGCACTTGAAACTCAAGTATTTTCAAGTGGTGTCGAACAAGGCTCTAAGTGGGACATGGCCCCTGGCATTGAGAAAACTCAACGCCGCTGGTGCGAGTGATGATAGGAGCTCCACAAAACGCCATTCAGTTCAGACGAGAACGGATAAAATTTGACAGCACGGAAAATATGAAAACTGTAATCCAATCCATGAAAACCCGGAAAACATGCAGGTTGGGGGGGGGGGGGGGGGGGGGGGGGGGGGGGGGGAGAAGGCATCCGAGCGACGTTACAAACAACGGCTACTTCGCCTTCACGCTTCTTCTTTCGAGCAAAGCTGGCCTCGCTTGGGCCTGCGCGTATCTAACTGCCTGCTTCCTTAGGGGCTCGTTCCACACCACTCGAAACTCAAGGGTTTCTTGACCAACACCGTTCCACGGTGCCCTTGAGTTTTGCTAATCACTGGCGGGTCGTCATTAGGTTTTGGGGATTATCAAACGGGGGGGAAATTCTCAAGGGCGGCTCAAGTGTGGCCCAGGCAAACGAGGTGATTTTTCAAATGACCTCCGACCTCTCTTGGGCCTGCGCATGTCTAACTGACTGCTGCCTTAGGGGCTCATTCCACACCACTTGAAACTCAAGGGTTTCTTCCCAACACCGTTCCACGGTGCCCTTGAGTTTCGCTAATCACTGGCGGGTCGTCATTAGGTTTTCGGGATTATCAAACGGGCGGTCTCAAGGGCGGCTCAAGTGCGGCCCAGGCAAACGAGGTGATTTTTCAAGTGACCTCTTGGGGCACACTTGAGCTGCCCTTGAGAAGTGTCCCGAGGCGTTTTCAGGTACGTGTAGAACCCCCCGATGTTTTTTTTTTCCCCGTTTATTCTCCTTTTTCTAACGCCATTGTCCTGGTTGAACCTCTCGCGAGCTCTTCCCGCTCATTTCAAGGACGGACTTGAGGGTTGAGTGGAACGAAATGTGACTCAGGTAATTTTTAATCACTTTTGCCGCGCACTCGAGTTTCAAGTGAAGTGGTGTGGAACTAGGCCCTTACTATTCAGTGCCTAGCAGTGTACCCCCCCAAAAAATTACTAGTATACAGCCGCCTTTACGGGTCCAACCGGGTAAGCCCTACAAAAACTAAACCCTACAAAAACTATCTTACACCGTGCAACTTGGCGCAAGAAATAATAAATAATAATTTCTCTCTACATAATTTCAGAACCAGCGTATCATTCAGTAGGTACTTCGGAAAACAAATAAGTAAGTAAATACAGCACGAGAATTAAATATAGCACGCAATTAATCACGAATATTAAAGCACGGAATTTCCCGTCCGACCAGGCGGTCCCTCCCTGCTAGCCCGAGACTACCACCCCTACTTAGTAGTCTTCCTTGTAGACCATTTTCTTCTGCCTTTCCCTTTTACCCCCGGCATATGGTAGCACCATGCTATCGAGGAGCGTGTTCCACGGTTCCTCGTTAGCAACGGTACCCCTGGGGTCTGGTCCCACCTACGGTTGTTGAGTTTAGAAAACTCAACGGTGTGACGCCATGTCTACATTAATAAATTCGAAACAACAAATTAAAAAACTGAAAAAAACGCTAGAAGCAGCTTTTCTCCTTATTTTTTATAACGTAACTGGGAGAAATGAAACATGTCTGTAACAGTCGGAGTGAACGTCTCCGTGAAAAAAGGATACTCCCCGTGGTGAGGGGACAGGAGGTCACCATTTGTAAAATGGACAGGGACGACGTGGATGGCCAAATGCATTCATTGCCCAAAGAAGGAAACGAGTTTGATGCCAGACAGCCAAACACAGCTGTCAGAGTTCCTCCGTTTCAGGATGCAATGAGGTCTAAAAAAACAAAAAAAAGGAAAGGCACTGCATTCTCCTGTATTTTGGTACCGTTAGATTCGCAATACATCAACGGCAGAGCTCCGTCCCACCATGCCACACGTGATAGAAAGCTCAGCGTTGAGAAAACTCAACGCTGAAGGTGGGACTAGACCCCTGGTCCATCAAAAAAAAAAAAAAAAGACGCTGCTGTGACGTCGCTGCTGCAATGCCCAAGTCGGCCTCCCATCCGCCCAACTCCCCACATGCCAGAGTCCCAATCTGCCATCTCGCGCGATTTTATTGTTTCAGCCAGAAGGAGAGAAAAAACGCACACGTTCCTACAGAAAAAAGAAACCAGAAATGGCATACATGTAGCCCAATTATGCACCTTGTCATCGTTACGGCCCATGCTGTGCACTATATCAGCGAGCCGACAGCCTCTTCGGAGCTTACTGCTTGCTCTCAGAGCCTAATAGCCCTCCCTCTCTCTCTCTCTCTCTCTCTCAGTTGTTCAACCGAAGAGGGTAACATCATTCGCCATTTCGTCCGCCCATCTGTCTGCAAGGGCGCAGCATGCATTTAAGAATAACAATATATACTTTGTATAGAGACCTCTCTCTATCTCTCTCTCTCTCTCTCTCTCTCTCTCTCACACACACACACACACACACACACAGTTGTTCTACCTAAGAGAACAACATCATCCCCCATTTCATCCGCCCATCTGCCTGCAAGGGCGCAGCATGCATTTTAAGAATAATTTACAATTTGTACAGAGTCTTCTTTCAAAAACAAGCGTAGCAACCTATACTCAAAGATGCTCTCCAAAATGGTGTGCATCATTTTCTCTTGTTCTCGTCAAAATCGACGAAGTAGATGTAGAGTTTTACAATCTGTTTTTTTTCCTCCTCTAAATCAAAGAAAGAAGTTGGTGCCGTACAGCAGCACAGCTTCTAGATGACGTTACCTGCCCCGCCATCATCTGCAAATGTCCCACTGTATGTAGCTACAAGTTCTGCTGCCGACCCTCAATCCTACTGCTAATGCTGTACCGCGGTCCTGACCTCCGTCCACACTCCACAGCGACCGCATATCAAAAAGTCATTGGAATACACACACACACACACACACACACACACACAGCGACCGCATATCAAAAAGTCATTGGAATACACACACACACACACACACACACACACACACACACAGTCTTGCGTTTTTTTGGAGTTATGTATACCGAACGTGGCAACACAGACGCACACACGCACAGAGGTGGATGGATGGATATCCTCCTTCATCCATAGCAATTGCGAGGACCCCGCAAGAGAGTGGAGGAGCGGTCGGCAAAAGCGGGCAGGTATCAGAGGAGGTTTATGCAGACCTATCAGCTAGCAAACCAGGAAACGATCCGTTGAAATTTTGGAGCGATACGGAGCAGATTAGCATGGCCCCTGCGCAAGGATGACACGCAGAGAGCGAGAAGAAGCGTACTGTAGCCAACCTCTTTCTTGATCTCCATGTCGCAGGCCACATACTCGTACGCACTAGGACTGTTTTTTGTTGACTGAACATGGCGGCAAATACGGTCATATGCCTTTTTAACTCCCAGTCCGCACCAGAGTTTGCCGCAAGTTAGGTGCCATATCAAATCCTCAGGTCATACTTACCACACCAAGACTTCTTCGCAACGGACTGAGCCTGGCTGTGATTGCGGGTATATGCATCACTACGAAATCGAGTGCTAGCGTGAGTATGCCCTCACCTACCTTCAGTTCACCAGCTTCTACGGACATGAGTGAGTGGGGGTGCACATGCGCATCCCAAAATCCCAGCCAAATTGAATATCCTCCCAAGACGACGATGGGCCCATGTCTTACTAGATTTGGACTGATGTGGCCATTCTCCTCACAGCTCAGAGGATTGCCAGGTACAAGCAGTGTCCCTATTTTCAATTGGATCTGGCGGGGGGCATTGCCCCTGTTCCGGATGGGCGGGAAAATCTGGCGGGTTGTAGAGGAAAAATTGGCGGGGGGTATTGCCCTTGTTCCAGATGGGCGGGAAAATCTGGCGGGCTGTAGAGGCAAATGATCATAAACTACGGTAATACTTTAGCAATATTTGGGAGGAAGAAGATAGCGGCGGCGTCGGGGGAGGGGGGGGAGAAGTATTGGGCTAGATGCAGAGAATCGATGTTAACGCTCGCGCGCAGCGTCCAGGGGCCTCGCCGCACTACACTGAACAAATGGGAAAAAAAGCGAGTGCATTTCCTCGCAGAAGATGAAGATACTATTCATATTAAGGTATGTATCTTGCCAGCTTCTGTGGGAAGATGCGTTCGCCTTTTTTTTTGTTCCGTGAGTGGTGTGGCGAGGCCCTATGCTGTGTCTCCGATGACGAGGAGCGATAAACTCACAGAAGCAGCAGAGCCACTCGATGGACAGGAAGGGAGAAGCGGGGGGAAAGGGAAGATGGGAGGACAGCAGATAAGCCGTGCCCACACTTGACGCACAATAGGAGGAGAGAATGAAGCAGCGACAGGGGGAGGGGGGAGGGGAGTGGGAAGGGAGGGACTGGACACAGAAATGGGGGCGTGGATATCGGGAGAGTCAGGGGTTGGCCAGTCAGCACTTGCAGCAGTGGGATATCATGATGGCGGAAGGAACAACAACGGGAGGGGGGGAGGGGAGGGGGGAGAGAAGTGGGCAAGGAGGGAGTGGACAAAGAGGGGGGCGTGGCAATCCGGAGAGTAAGGGGTTAGCCAGTCAGGACTTGCAGCAGTCGGATATCATGATGCCGGGAGGAACAACACCAGGAAACAACACGTGGAGGGCTGGCAGGGGAATTGGTAGAGGTATGACGTCGGGGAAGGGTGGAGGCATGGGAGGAGGGGCGGGTAGAGGGACCGGGGGGGGAATGAGGGGAAGGGCAGGCAGAGGGATGGGCGCAGGGATGGGTGCGAGGATGGGAAGGGGAACTACAGGGATCATCGGGGGAATGATCCTCGGGAGAGCAGGTAAGGGCAGGATAGCGGGTTTGGGATCGGAATCAGCCATGAGGGCGAGGGAACGCTACAGGCTCTGGCCGGACGGGACAACAGAGACACACCGGCAATCAGTGATCTCCTCCTGCGTCGCCCTAGCTGGTGGTGAAGTTCCTGATCTTCCTCCAATATTCTACTCTCTTCCTCCAGCTCTTTTGCGGCTACGTCATGCTGCTGCTATAGAAACGAAATTTGGAAGAACAACAGGGCTTCCTACTTCGTCCGTCTAATGTTCTCTATAGATTAGCCTGTGTCACCACCACCTATCTTTTAACAGAGAAGAAGAGGATCATGGCGTTGGCGTCTCACGTGTACACTCCTAGCAGTGGCTGGGGAGGACCTTACACGGCAGGCATATCGTCGACTGCAAGGTTGCACGTCACCGTTCGAAAGCGCGGCAGATGAATGCTGGCGGACAGATCATCGGCTCGATCCCGCGGCTGCAAATGGTCTTTAGCCGTAGCTTAGATTCCAGGGACACCTTGCGCGGAGGATGGCGGACATGACGGCGCACGGGGGTGAATGACTCCTGAAGTGTCGATTAGCAATTTCCTCTTTCTGGGCAGCTGGCGAGGGCGAGCATAAGGGTGAGAGCGACGACTCCAGGGAAAGGAGCGATGACGTGCTTGCCCGGAAGCCCGCACCACGCCTGCCTGCCTGCCCGGAAGCCTGCCTGCTTGGCCGGATTCTCGCTCCGGCCTGTCTGCTTGCTCGGAGGCTACCAAAAGCTTGCCTGCCTCCTGCCCGGGAGGCTAGCACAAGCCTGCCTGCCGCCTTGCCGGGCCGTCTGGCCCAGCCAGGCTGTCCACCCGCACCTTTACCCCAAGCTCACTCCATGGATTTCGCGGTGCCCGCCAGCACCTTCTCTCTCTCTCTCTCTCTCTCTCTCTCTCTCTCTCTCTCTCTCTCAGTGAGGTAGAAGGGTAATCGCGACGGTGTCGCATGCCATGGACAGGACGTGTATGCTGCGAAAGTAAAACCTCGCACGTGTTGTCTATTATTGCAAGTCTCTC